TTACACGATCTGCAACACCAACTATACTTGGAACATTAACGGACAGGCTTAAAATTATACAACAAGAAGATAGATCTAAATTAGCCACAACAAGTGAAAATCGAATCCGGAAGCAAACAGCAAAGAGATCTATGGTGATCGATTAGGAAATGGTCGATCTTTTGATTTGACTGATCATAAATTTTTTTTTTTTTTGAACATATTCGAATATATTAGAATATATTCGATTATTAAATAGTCATGCCTGACACCATGCTATAATAATTGTCTATTGCATTTCACGTTATTCATGCAAATGCAAATAACGCGTATAAAATGAATATTCATTAAATAGTTTTAAGAATTTCAAACCTTATGCAATCCAAATAACTTACTATTTGTAATTCTGTAGTATTAATGCTATGTTTGTAATTAAAATTTGCTTAAAGTTGCTTGTAATTAAAATTTGCTTAAAGTTGCATTTAGCACTTGAAATTAGATCTTGCAATATTACAAAATTTTTCGTAATAGAATTTTTTTTTTTTTTGTTTGTTTGTTTTAATTAGATATATATAAAGATGTAATAATTAAATTATTACATCTTTATAACTATATAAATATATATATATATATATATATATAGTTAGTAATATTTTTCTTTCTTTTCTTTAGCGTTAGCAGAAATTCCGTATAACGAGCTGTTTGTCGCGAATAATAAAAGCCTTAGATAATCGACACTGATAATTGAATAAAGAAAATAATTTTTAAATTTAACCATTTAATGGTTACGATTCAAGCTAAACCCGGCAATAAAAGTCATTAAGCTCTCTCGGAATCGTAACAACAGGTGCTTGAAGTACAAATGCTAATTTTAATAACAGTAATAAGTGCGCGCAGATGCAGTTGTAAAATTTCCAATGGATTTACTGGCCTCGATTAATGATAATGTATAATACTTGGTAGTTATCTAAGTAACAATAAACAATTTAGTGATGGATCATTTCAGAATAGAATTATATCGTTCACCTTTTTTTAATGGAACGCTCTATAGATGATTGATCAGAAATTTTCACCAATCATCATTTCTAATCTAGATTAATGTCGTTGATAAGGACATTATGAGCATTATGAGTGATATTTTATTATAAGATCATATTTAGGATTGCTATTGTGTGTCCAGTTGTTTATTGTTGATTGTTTTGTCGCAACATTTCTTGCTTTTTTTTTTTTTGGCATAACAATGCTTTTGCTAATTGTATATGATATGCAGAGCAGGCGATTCATTACAACAGTTGGTGTCGGTGTATTGGCACATTTTATATAAAACTATATATGTTGTGAACTAAATATTATTCGATCAAAACTATATAGTACATGGATGTAGTTCTCCTATATAATATGTGATGCCAAGGGAAAACCAGACTTTGGATTTTCATCTGCTTGAAGAAATGGAAGGCCAGTATGTTTGAACATCCCATAGCTAATACCAGAAGGGCCACATGCTTTGTTATTAGAAAGTTGAGTTAGAGTTAAAGAAATCCTATTTATTGTAAATTTCTAAATAGCTGTATTATATTATTCAGGTTGGATATAGGATTTAGATTCATATTCATGTTTCCAGATAGAGTCCTGATCAGACATGAACATATATGACACGTAAGTAAATTAATAGGACTGGGTGAAACTCGAGTTGTAAATTAGTTTCACCCTGTCGTAATTTAATTACGTGTCATATGTGTCTCCGTCAGACCACATCTGGTAAATAATAAATAATAGACTTGAAAACCCAAAGTTGGTTTTTCTTTGGCATCACTCATATGTATTATATATACGTATGTATATAGGTTACCAATAAAACATCCCATCAAGGAGTGGACGTTAATAACTGATTCGATCTCCAAAGTAATGTGCACGAAAGCCACTTCTTTCGAGACAGTATTAAACATAATACTGGCTTTCTTAATAAATAATTGTGACAGTGGTCCACAGACAATCTATTAGAAAGGTTTCTATGAATTTTTAAATTAAAATAAAATAGTTTATTTAAAAAATTAATAGTGTTATGAGAATGGAATCCTCTGTGCTATTATTAACAGTTAATATAGGATCATAATAATAAAATTATTCTTAAATTTTTATTGTAAAGAATAAAATTTAAACTTGTTTAATTGATATAATATATATCGATATATTGTAGAAATTAACAGCCAACACAGAGTATTGAATTTGGATTACTTGCACTATCAGGATTAGTAAAACAGGTATTGCAACTAAGTTCACATGTTGTTTTTGGTTCACCTGGCACAACTGGGCCACATTTAAATGATAAAACTGGCGCTGGATAAAGACCAGCGTTGCACGCAGGAGATGAACTTTGACATTGCACTAAGTAAGCTTGCCCAGCAACATCAGAATGTATAGCACAAATAGCTTGTGAATCGCACTCATTGGTCGCAGACGCGACTTGATTATAGACTCTACATTTGTAAGTTTTTGGTATCGCTTTAGAAGGACATTGATCCTGATCCTGATTCGGATTCTTGTTTTTGGAGTAAAATGGAGATGATAAAACGACTTCTAAAAAAAGCCCAAGGGTAAATAATTGTAGTAAAAAAATAATAAGCCTCATCTAAAAAATATATATATATATATTGATATATATAATGAGAAAAATGAGATACGTATAATAAAATAAAATAATTAACAAAAAATTGTATTTACCTTGTATTTAATTTTGAGTATTGAAAATTTTTGATTAAAGAGAAGAGAAAAACGTATGCTATTTATAATAGTCACAATTCAAAGAAACTTGAATACCTTTTGAACATCAGTTAGTACGTATTTTATCTTCTTAAATGAAGACATATTGCACCGCATACGTGTTGTCATTTCATCTAATTAATAAACACCAGTAAGTATACGTAAAGATATTTTTAACGACTGTATATGGAATGTTTTTGTTTCTTTAGATGAATACATATGCGAAATTTATTAAAGAAAAAATATTACTGTATTAGCATGCACTTCTAATTAATGATATTGTAACAATTAAAGAATCTTGAGTACGTTCGTACGTACGTACTGTTACACTCGAAACTATCTCTTATAAGTTCGGTCTAACGGTTTTACTTTAACGACGGGTATGTTAGACGATTGATTACGAATACCGTTTTATGCTTGAGTAAAGTATAAAGTTTATTGCAATTACGCTTTAAGAGGATTATGGTTACAAAAGAGGCAAACGGCTAAATGTATATGAAGATACAAGTAGTCGTATAAACAAGATTATGATTTATTCAATAGTTATTCGTGTAATTGTTTGTTTAATAAAGTATTCGAGTTCGTGTATGAAGACACGATTACTCTTTATTGAGTTGTTGAGTATAGAACTGTTTCTTACAAGAGCAATAAATGAATAAATGAGGCTATTTATACATTTTGAACATTATAATCTCTTGCTATTCTTTCTATTAGTACATCCTTTAGCACTTTTTAGTGCTACTTAGCGCTACTAATATTATAAGTGCTTAGGGCTATTAGCGCTATCTAGCACTTAGCGATACTTAGCATTCTTGGGATTAGTTTTACATTACTGCCAAATATCACATTATGTATTGTTTTTAATGATTATATGGTGCAAATCCGAATATTTGGAATTTCGTAAAAAAAACATTGCATTGTAGTCTTGGATTGGATAAGGCTCTATAAAGTAATGTATTTTATTTTATTTATTTTATTTATTATTTATTTTTTTTATTTTTATTTTTTTTTTTGCGAAATCATCGAGGAGATACAATTTTTTTGGTAATCTGGAAGGTATTGTTTGATTGGTTTTTCAACTCTAAATACATTGTGTAAAATTAGGAAAAATATTACGTTATATGCATGCACAGTGCATGCATATTAGGGGTTGGGCCCGGGTAAAAATTTTTACTATACGATTACCGAAATATATATAATAACTTACGCGGATAACCCGCGTAATTTAATAATACCCGGGTAGAGATTTTCCCAATCTCTACATGTACAAAATGCATATTATCATTTCATTTCTTCTAATTTGTGACCATTCTCGAACACCTCTAGTATAATTATTACAAGTGATTTTTGTTATGAAAATTTTTTATAATATTAAATTATATGTATTTAAACTCCGCTCGTAAATGATCTTGG